TGTTTTTATCAATTTTTTATGCTCCTAAGTGCTATTGTTTAATAAAACGTAGTTTAATTTAATAATTTTTGACCTGGTCGATAGATAACTGCCCAATTGAAAATTAATTATTAAATGATACTATTAAAAAACTATTAAAAACTATTTAAAAGCTATTCATTTTATTTTTGGTATTAAATAACGGGTATTGCATAAATATTAAACCATAAGATCAACAGGTGCCAAAACAAACAAAAATGTTAGTTCGAAGGATTATTATGCATATCGGTTGATGATTAGATGTGATCAGGACAAAGTTATTCTACGATGTTGTGAGCTTTGTCAACAATAATTTATAGTCGATATTTATGTAAAGATAGAGAGCGAACGATTACGATACTAGCGATATAATCAATAAAATTTGCGTGCTGAAAATTCTCAAAACAATTGTTAGATATCGGCGATGGGAAAGTTACTACAGATGAAATGAGATGCTTACAATTACCGACCGATTTCTGCACAATCATTGATTTGCAAGATGCTCTCATTGACCAGATATTTCCCAATATACACAGACACAACATTTGTTACCAGGAGATTCGGTGTCATACAAATCTATTGATACAATTTGCAATGCTATTGAAGCTGTAAGTAACAGCATTTTTGAACTATTTGGATTTACCAGACATGCCACCGCATAATTTATAACTGAAGGTTGGATATCCGGTTATATTGCTTCATAATTTGAACCCACTTCGGTTATGCAATAGCACGCAATTAGTCATTGAAAAATTAATGAAAAATGTTATCGAAGCCATAATTTTAAATGACAAATTCCGAGGTGAAAATATATTATTACCACGAATCCCTATTATACCCACAGATGTGCCAATACAATTTAAACATCTTCAATTTCCAATTAGATTGGCATTTGCAATGACTATCAATAAGTCTCAAGGCCAAACGATGTCTGTCTGTGGCTTAGATTTGAGCACATCATGTTTTTCACACGGACAATTATACGTGGCGTGCTCTAGAATCATCCAGTTTGTTTATGTTGGCGAAATTGGGATAACAAAAAATAATGTACACTCTGTTACATTAAGGGATTGATATTGTTTTTTACTAATATTGTCATAATTAGCGATATATTTAATTTTAAAGGATCAATTTAAATAAATTATTAAAAAAAATAAATGTTTGATGGTTTTTTATTTTTATATTTCGTCACCGTTCATACTCCATACTTCTTCCACTTATATACCACATTCTTACACACATATATTAAATTAGTTATTTTATTCTAGCAAAATATTCTCTAGAAATAATTTATATGACAAAACAACGTTTGTCGGGTCAACTAGTATATATATATATATATATATATATATATATATGTAATAAATATTTATTAAAATAACAAATGTTTTATAGAGGTAATTTAAAAAAAAATTGTTTAGAAGTTTTATTCTATTTTATTCTCACGTACAAACATAACTAAAATATCAGATATTGTAATTGTAGTTGAAAAATTATATTTAATATATTATTTTTTTTAATAATAACATATTTAAATGATCTTAAACACTAGAGTAAAATATAAAGTTTGTATTTTCTCATGTAAAAAAAAAAAAAAAAAAATACTCCAACGTACTTAACTATGTAATTAATACTATGAAAATATATGGTGAAAAACATATTAGAAATATTATATAATTGAACGTAAAAGACGTAATTCATAAGAAAAAATAAAAATATTTTTCGTTTGTAGTACCATGAGTTACTTTTTTAAATAATTGAATAATAAAAGTTAATTTTTAATAAAAAGTCTTACAATGTTTGAAATAACTACTCTTCTTTAGTTTTTACCATTAACATTCAAATGTAATATTTTAATAACTGGCAAAATTGTTTACAACCTATAATAACGAATTCATCAAACTGTAAAAATCGTAACGAAAACTTCTGATATCGAACGAAAAGTGTAATTTGTATAAACACATCATAAATTGCATAAATAAATATTATTATAAAAAACCATATGAAATACAAAATGTATTAAATGACGGTAATATTTTAATTAATTTCTCATAATATCAAAATATAAGTTTCGAAATAATTATTATTAAACATTTTCTGTAAACTTAAAATATTATAGACCATGAATTATTATATTCACGTATAATCGTGAATTTATGTATTCATATATATATATATATATACACCTCAACTTACTTAGTTTTCTACTTTTATACGTAGGAGAAAGATGGTTTTACTCATATCATAAATATAGATTAGATTATTTTAATAGACAATAAAATAAAAAGTTATTCACGTGATTATGTCTCTGATTCGTGTTCATATGTTTTAGCATCTATTAATTCACATATATTATTAATTTATGTTTTATTTTGTTACATTCGCGTTTTCACTATATCCGATATGTTTGTATTCACTTAAAAAAGTAATGACCTCTATTAAATATTCCTAACGAATGAATTTTGGACGATAAAACGAAATTATTAAAATGGAATGAATTTATTAGGATGTATGTACATCAAAAGTGTTAAAATAAAAGAAAATTGTAACGGTAATATTTTAATTGGTTTGAGCATCTGTGAATAAACCCACATTAACCGTTGTGGTTAAATACAATTTTGATTAACTGTAAATTGTGGTCAATAGGTCAGTTAAGGTATTTATTAAGTTCAAACAAAAGTAAAATGTTGTTATTTGGATTATAAATGTGAACTTTACATAAAGAGTTTATAATTTAAAACATTCGAAACAAGCGGATCGTAATGTTTTGACGAAGATACAACATACAACTGATTTTGAACAGCATTTTACTTTCCAACAAAAAATTTAATTATCAGTTATTTAATGACACTGAAATTAAATTCTATTAAAATATAGTAAATGAAGAGCATTATATTTTTATAAACAATTACTGAACAATGTAAATGCCAATGAAATATTTTATTACGAAATTTCATATAAATTGAATTAAAAATCAATATTTTTATGGGATATACATATAACGCTCGACGAACTTTATATACCACATAAAATAAAAAATATTATAAATAATATTATATTTTCGCTAATGTTTGTTTTTTTTTTAATGTTCAATATAGTATATACACATTGAACACTTAAATTAATAACGAATGCTCTTTCTGAAAAATTAATTTTTCGTCAGACGGTCTATTATTTTTAGATCATTTATAAATAATAGTGAATTTATTTAGAATCTTCATGAAGAAAGTTACCGGTCGCTATAAAATTGATCTATATAATAATTAAAAATAAATCGAACTCTAATTAAGCCTCTAATGTCTTAGGAATGATCATATTTTAGCATATTCGACGTATATTCATTGGTCCAATAGAAAATTTGTGCACATCATAGACTTAAATTAGCATTATTTTTAACATTTTCCGAAAATGTATAAATATTTGACAGAGAAGTATAGTTATTCCGAGAGAAGTAAAGAGAAAATAAATTACACTCGAGTCCGAAAATAATAAAAATTTAATAGACCGTGTATTTATTTAAAAATGTATAAAAAACATAAAAAATAATTAAAATACCGAAAAACCAACGGAACGGCGTTTTCTTCTATTCAGCGGTACCTGACCTAACCCGATATGCAGTTATAATAAAGTCCAAAATAATATTCAAATGATCATACGATTTTTCGACGGTAATTTGTCACGTACCATACGTAGATTAGACCAAAACAAAAACCGTGAATTCAGCGGAGCACATTCGTTTTCGATACGTGTAAATCCGAGAATATTCTTGTCCGATTTCATACATTCGTATAATCCATTTCGACGATTCGATCGAGAGCATGACGTCAAAGTTCCGTCGAAATTGGTAAAATAAATTATCGACTTTCGTCGACAACGTTTTTATCTTCAAAGCATTATGCAAACGATGGATTAGAATCGAAAAAAAAGAAAAAAAAAAAACAAAAAAATAATCGATACCAAAAATTGTTTTACGTCGGTCAATGTTGTGCATCAGGTGGAGGGGTGTCATATATCGTCACCTCAGTTCAAGACAGCAATAACTCAAAATTATTCAGAATTGAGTTATCTACGTGATATTATTTGCAAAATTACGACGATTTCGATTCTATAATGCAATAACTTTAATTGCATTATTCACCTTTAGAGGTGGTTTATATCATTCTAGAACCAGAAGTTTCATAATTTGAGTCATTGCAGTCTTAAACTGAGGCGTCGATACGACAAGTGCATGTCGGTGCGTATACGAGAAAACCACCTGCACGGCATGCATCAGCTGTTCGGCCGACGGAAACGCAAACGTACGCAATCGTGCACTGCCTGGTACCATAGCATGCGGATCGCCGTCACCGTGGGCCGTCGGTGTACGTTATCATCGCGTAATGTGCACGTCGTCTAAGTTGGCCACTCGCGGGGTGAAGTTTCGCGAACACCGTCACGAGTCCGCGTGCCGTTCGTATAGTGGTTGTGGACGGTACGCACGCGCGGAGCACAGAGGCGACGCTCAACTTTGAGATAAATTACGAACAATGTTCGGAGCTCACCCAACGGGTGATGTGCGACCGCGTCGGGATTATGGGATTTTCGTGCGGTCCACACGCGAACCGGTTGCGTCGGGCGGCCGTAAGACGAAGGTTCAGTAACATTACTCGTTTCCAACCACCCGGTGCACCGGATCGACAGCGGATTTTCAATATGAATAAAAACGATTTCAAGCGGACTGTTGGCTTGCCGACTCTTGGGGTTTCTGCCCCGACCAAGGACTATGGTCTCGAAGAAAAATGAACTACGCGTTATGTAATACGTTACATTCGCACGAGAACGTTTTATACTGGAGTAAACAACGATAACAACGTAGTCTCGACAGCAGCAGAGGTTTGTGGAGCCAAAGTACAAAATGTGCATAACTTGTAAAGAATTCGAAATGTTTTGTTTCCGCGACTTTTCTAAAGCTAAGAAACGCGTAGAAACGCGTAGAAACTCACTTGTCGTGCATGTTGAACAGATCGGCGCCGCCGATGCGCAACACGTCCTTCACCGTCCGTGCACCCTTATAGACGGCCATCACGGCGAAATGGCCACCAATCAGCCCGTCTGGTTCGGGCCACACGCGCATCGCCAGCGCCTTGAGCACCACTTCGGACGCGCGGGCCTGAGCCTGCAGATCTTTGGCCGTGTGCAGGCACGCGGCGCGCGCGGCTGGCAACGTGTGCGGTCGGCAGCAGGCCAAAACGGCCACGGCCGCGGTCAGCGCTGTCGCGGTACGCATCGCGGTGCGTCTACCGGTCGCGGTGCACGGTGGCCGCTATCGTCGCCACCGCAGCCTCGGACCGCATCGCAGTCCAATCGGGTCAACCGCGATTAAGCGTGATCAGGCCGGGCCGGACGGTCGCGATGATCCGATCGCACGCAAACGGATGTTACCGTTGAGTAAGGTGAAGGTGCGATCAACGTTCGATCCCAACGACTGAGAACGTTAAGGCCGGACCCGTAACGAAGAAACGAGTGAGATCGATGTGTCGGCGAACTGGACGAGGCAGTGGTAGCGAACGCGCGCGCGTGTGTTCGGCACTTCGTGCGCGAGACGACTGTTGAGCTCGTGCCGCGTCCGATTCAAAGGGTACCGAGCTCGCGGCGGCGCGCCGTCGCCGTCGGTCCACTCTGGTGGGACGGGGGTGGCTGGGCGGGGGGAATACCGTAAAGGTGTAAATGCCATCTGGTGACCGACGCAAGAAGTGCACGGCCATCGTTGGCAGCGGCCGGTCGGAGCGTTACGCGCTGAAATATTATTAAACGCGACGACGACGATCTCAGCAACAATGGCGGTAAAAACGATAACGATGACGAAGACACCGTAGGTCATGTACACGGTGACGGCGTCTCGTATCGGAGGCGAATCGCCGACGATAAGTCTACGAGATGAACCTATCCTTCGGTCCCGGTAGTTCGTTCCGTGATCCTCGTGAGGGATTTCGCGTTCTTTCCCACTCGGCCACCGGCCACACCGATTCCTGTAATATTTATATGTTTCGCGTATGTGTTCACCGACGGCGCGCGACAAATATTTCTTATCGTCAAACGTTTACACGGACGCAGTACCTAACGCCTGGAGTCGTTATCCTTCTTAAATTTGTATTATGCATTTATTATTATATTTTTTTTTTGTTTCCACGTACGCGGTTGGTTATGTTCCGTCCAGAAACGCCGACAAAATGTCTTAATGAGTGGGAAACACGACGGAACTTAAAAAAAAAAAAAAAATCGTTTGCGGTAAAAACACAACGTCCGCGCCTCAACGCAAACGAAATCAATCGATAATATGTTATAACGCGTAGGCAAATGTCTAAATACCAATACAAGAGCGTTTTCAACACCTACCTCCAAATATTGGTTAAGCGTACATACCATTCATTTTTGGTCTAGAAAACTCTCCATTCCGCGGTACGATTAGGTAGTGAATAAATCGTAGAAAATCATAGAAAGAAAATTATATTTTCTAAGACTATTAACAAAATTACAGATTTATTACATTATATTTATTAAATTTTAGTGAAACACAAGCAGCAATCGTTTTGTTGGTCAAACCCTTATTTTTCCTTCGATTAAATTACATTTTTTTATGGCGAATAAACTTTCATGAACATAGTTTGACGAAAAATTTGAAAGCATAAGGAATATTGTCATTTTTAAAACATATATAATTTGTTTATTTATATTTTTTACAACCAACATTTTATAAATAGCAAAAAAATTTTTTTTGTACAATTTCAATTTGGTCAACGTGCCATTTTTGGCACTCGTGCCATAGGTTCACCACCCCTGGTCTAGACTCTAGTACGCAGTGTAAGTACTAATTAAGTTGTAATTGTTGACTTGTGTATATTAAACTATTCTAATAAATTATTTATGCTTGTAATAGATATATTAAAGTAAAATTAAAATAATAAGATGAAGTGTATAAAAAAAAAAAAAAAAATAGAAAAAAGTTGAAAGAAGAAAATGTTATAATGTAAACATTATACTTGGACAGCTTCTTTGAAAAAGTAGATTTTTGAAATAATATTTATTTAATGATGAAAATATATTTTAGAAAATACAATAAAATTACCACGATCTAGAAACATTCAATGAACATTGCTCTATTCAATTTAATAAACTAGTAATTGATTCATAAGGTAAAATTAATAATCTTGAAAATAAAAACAATGAAGTTACATTAGGTATATAAACATTGAACTTAGTAACCTCTCATCAAAAAATATTTCCATATCAAAAAAATTTTTAGGCTCATGCACAGCAGACTGGAATTAAGATTATGATGCAATTGAGTTTTTTTTTTTTAAATCCACCTTTATTAAATTCATTAATATTTATTTTAAAAATACAAAAAGTTTATACGGAAAAAATTTTTTAAATTTTATCAGATATACTTGAAAGTCTTCTCAATAGTGAACGCAAAAAAAAAGTGTTTTCTCTGTTCAAAACCTAAAAATGCACTTTATTGTTTTCAATGTATAACTTTTGCTTCTAATTAACAAGCATTTAGTAATCCTAATTTTTGGATTCATAAATTTGTAAAAATGTCATAATTTAGAAAATTGTAGCTAAATAATATAAATAATATAAATATTTATAAATTATTTTTAAGAACATCTAAAAAATAGAGAGGTTATTGATCATATATCTCAAGAAGACATTCAATCTAAAATTAAGTATTGAAAAAATATATTGCATCGTATAGTGGCCACAAAATCATTTCATTCAGAAAGAGGGTCAATTTTTAGAGAGGATGATCAAAAGTTTGATTCTTAACATAATGTTAATAATTTAGAATCCTTAGATTTAGTTAGTAGATTTAGACTTTGATCCATTCATTACAAATCACCTTACCAATTTTGGAAATAAAGGCAAAGGAAATGTACCATATTTATAAAGTACAAATTGTGATGAATTTATTTATTTAACGGGTAACTCAATAATTTATAGTATTTTTAATAGTTAAAAAGTTAAAAAACCAAAATATTTTTCTACTGTAGTGGTTTGTACCACTAACATTATCAATATACATCAAATTAATATTATTTTAAGGTATGTTGAAAATAATAATTATACAGTAAAAATATTTCTTGGGTTTCTCAAATTAGTTTGTCATAAAGCAGAAGATATAAAAATTGTTTGACTGAATTTATTTACAAATCATTCAATACATTTATAAAACTTTAGAGGTTAGTCGTATGAAAATTGTTCTAATAAATACAGCATATACAATGGTTTGCAAGCTAGAATAAAAAGTACATCCGAGAAAGTATTGTATGTCCAATGTGCAGCACATTTGCTTAACTTAGTAAGGAAAAATTGAAAATATGAATAAATATATTATGTAATATATTTAAAATATGAGAAGTTAATTTCACATATCTTTAGAAGACGCAAATATTAAATATAATAGTGATTAATTTAAAATTCTGACATCCAGAACCATATATGTATATATATCATTATTACGATGATTTGAGCCCAAATAAAATTAATTTTACTGTTATTAAGAAAATTAAAACTGAATTATTGTAGATTGACACTATTGATTTTCAATTTAATAGAAAAATAGAAATGTATATTGAAATCAAAAATATATTTAGATTTTTATTTAACTTAGAAAAAGAGACCATGAACGATATTTGATTTAAAAGTATAAATTTTGTTGAATTATATAATTCATAATTAGAAATAGGTTTTGAAAAATAATTAAAACAATTAAAAATCATTGTATAAGATTTTCCATCAGAAGGAAAATTATCATTTGCTACATTATATAAATAAATAAACAAATAGTTTTTTTGTATAAAAATAAATGAATTAATAAAACCTTACCTTAGAGTATTATTATATTTTTTAAGTACCACAGAATTACAAATGTATCATCAGTTTTTTTTTTTTCATATTTAGTCATGATTTCATTGACATTCTGCATACCTGACAATACATTTTTAATTTGAAATCGATCGTACTTTACAAATATAATAATTCTCAAAGCTAAACTTTTATTTACTTCTATGTATAAACTACATGTTAACTTATTTATATATTAATTTATGAGTATTTAATATTTTATAATTTAAATTTAAATTTAATTTTTTATTATTTTACTATAAAATAATTACTACTTCGTCTTTAGAAACATCGTTAATAAATATAGAAATAATTAAGAATTATTTGTACTCAATCTTTTCCAAGTTCAAGTGATGAAAGATCGTTTTCTGTCGTAAAATGTATAAAAAATTATTTACGATCTACTTAAATCCATAAATAAGACGTCAAATTTGTTGATATTATGTATTGCATCTAATTTGGTTAAAGATATAAATTAGCAAGAACTAATACAGAAATGTGCTACAACGAAATCCAGAAAAAAATAATATTTAAATATCTACAGAATAATTTAATTTCTTTTTTTTTAATTATTAGACAATTATAAACGATTTTAACTATAATATTGTAAATATATTATTATAATTAATTAACCTATTAATGTTTACTTGTGTCATATATTCAATTTGTGTTAAATCTCTTTTTAGAAATTGTTTATATAGGTTTATAATATATTTAATAGGTTAAGCTACTATGTTTGCACCATGGATGCAATATACTTTAATCGGTTCTAAATACGATCAATGAAACCCGTAACTTTGTTGAAGCCCACTTAGTCTAATCGTTATAAAAAAAGTTTTACAATTATATCCTTTTAGCTTTACTGCAAACATCAAAAGCGAATGTACATTATTGTGCAATAAGATGAAAATATGTTTAATTTATATATTTAATTTGGGAGAGAATCACATATGAACGGTCAGCACTGCGATCTCCATGTCACGTAAAAAATGTTTCAAAATACGTATTTATAAATAAACGGATTATTGTGCACCACCGTTTTTTCTTTTATCAGCCTTTAGGTCTATGGATCCTTTCGGATTTCGTTCCGTTAAACCACCGTAACAAGTTACCGTAAAGTTTCAATACCTAGTTAGAGTTATGGCTCTTGGTGTTGGAATTTTTGACTATGATTTCTAATTTTATGTGAGAAATTGTAATATTTTAACATATTATATAATATAATATACACGCAGACCGTCTCTCGGAATATACGAGTAAATAGAAAACCATTGTTGAATTCCATTCGATATGATAGTGACGGTTTTTTCGAACTCCACAGTTAATGGATTTATAGGTAAATACACTATTACTCAAAAATAAAAAATAACGAATTTAAAGTACTGTAGAAATTATATTTTATCAGCGATTTTGTTGAAAATACCATTATATTAAAAACCCCAATGAACCGAGTGTTTGCTAAAAATCTAGTACAATCGGAAAATTAATTAAAAAATCTTAAATTGATGTATTCGTTATAAGAAAAATCAATAGTAAAATTAATTATCTTTTTTAAGTTTTTCATCTCTCTAGCTGAATTGAACAAAATGCGAATGAGTACTTTCTCAACTCTAAGTGGAACCTCTCGTTCCGCCTACTACTACCACCGTGGTCTTATCGACTAACAGAGTCTTATCGGTATTATCGTTATTGTTCAGTCGAATGAATTGT